TAAGCGGCCGCGCTTAAGTTCTTGATGTGCATGTAGCTAAAGAGAAGGGCAGCATTACTCGGCTAGCGTGCGTAGCCCACTATTGGTTTGCCATTTTGCCAACGATGTTCCTAATCGTTTTCAGGAAGGGAGGCCAATTGTTTAGGCTGACGATTTAACGGTTGCTTCTCAATCTAAACCGGCAGATTTGCAGGATCTGTATAGGCCTTTGCGCAATAATTCTGCTAATTGTCCCTTTCCCTATCTGTGTTATGGTTGTTGGCAAAGATCATAAACCTACTCAAAAGATAGCCCATCTATATTCATATTTGAAGAGTTACAGGCGATTAATTTTCTTCAGGACCCTATTAATTTAAAATAATCATATCACTGTTAGAGTCAATAGGAGTTTGTAGAAAGGTGTGGTAACATGACACACATTCGAGTGAGTTCTCGTGGGACGGTAAAAAACAGTATGAAAACAGACAAGAGCGAGGTAAATGTTTACAATGCTGGCAATAAGAAATCATTTTGTGATAGTCGAGTTTTATCAACTAATATACCACCAAGGCTTCTTTTAAAATCAGCAATGGTTTCGGCGCAAACCGCCTCGCTTAGTAACGAGTTCCAGCGTCGTACCACTCGGTGGCTGAAGAAAAACTTTCTGAGGTCCAATCGAATGCGTTCGTTTGTGATCTTGTAAGGATGGCCACGCATGTGATTTGTGTTGGCTAACTGGATAAAATCCTCTAATCTCAGGGAGAATACGTGGCTCCGAATTATCCGGAATGTCCAAAGAAGGCTACACGGTTAGTGCCTGTAAGACATAGGAAAAAGGTCAAGCTTGATCAATCTCATTTGATATGTTGAGTGTCTTAGATCATCAACAATATTCGTGGCCCTCTGGTGCAATTTTTTGAGAATGCCCACATATATTTTCAAACACTGTGTCCAAACTGACATTCAAGTCAATATGTAGCTCATAAAGGTGCCAAAAAGTTTTCCAAAGAGTTCAGACGGGAAGATTTTGAACGCTTGTCTGATCCAGTGCAGCGTACTAGTTGCCTTCTATACTGCCTTTTTATAGGGCTCTGTTAGCATCAGGTTTGCAGTCGCCCACATGCCTAGATTTTTGTGCATACCAACCTTTTTTAATCCGAAGCCACGACTTAAACAGTATAGGAGTTATGAAGCATCTCAGAGTAAAATATTCTAGTGGTACTAGTCAGTCAGATCACTGTGCACTGATTGTTTTGCAAAATAAGGGGAGAATACTCCGAAATTTTGTCCCTTTTGTGTTCTTTTCTGTGGGCTAGTGAATGGAACCAATTGGAACTAGTTTAGCATTTTTTTATTAAAATGTTTATGTTTAGAATACCACAATATGTCTTATCGACAACGCTATGGACATTATAACCTTAAAGAGTCGTTCACTTAATCCCCTTACTAGTCTAAAGCAGCTTGATCAGTCTCAGCACACCATTCACCGAGTTACACATTCGCCTTTTCTAAAGGCTTGCCCAGTATGATATCGTCAATTTTACGTCAGTACACGTCATACCAATCAGGAATAAGTTACCCAGAAAAATCAATATTCAGCAAAGCTATCCTTAGTATAGGGGAACTAATTTTTTACATTCATGATATTTCACACACATTATCGGTGCTGACTCGCTGGAATTTCTCTTTCACCCTGCTGTCTCTAGAGCACTCTGAGCTTTGCGCCAGGCTTCGTGGCAAGGACAATGGTACTGACTCTACAGCCCTCAATCAGTCAATTGTTCAGCCAACAGCGATAAACCGTTCGCCGCCATACCCTATATCGGGCGCAGAATACACGATCCATAACACAGAAGTGGAGCTGACAACACCGTGCACCTGGGCACCAACTTCCCGTCTCAAAATGATCAACATTCAACGAGTAGCAGTTTTTTTTTCTCCCGAAAAATACAAGGCACTGGTAAATACTAAGGATGAGTTTTCGACACTGCCAACCCAAACGCCCGTAAAATTGTTAAACAAGCAATAAATGGTACAAAATAAAACTCTCCTTCCCATGAATAACATCGGTTTATATTCTGTTGCATAACCAATAGCACAAACAGAGCAAAAATGTGCGCTACTGCATTATTTTACCACAGAACTAACCTTGGTTTAGCAATTATTTATTTGACAATGATTTCGTTAATTACTAAGCCTCAGCTGACACAGCACGTCCCCCTGCATTCACATTACTTTTCCATACGTTTTCCGCCTTTGTGTGCTTGCTCATGGCGATAGTAGTGGGTATATATATAAGTTAACGCGATATCTTTAACTTATCAAATTGGTAGTCGCAAATTTACACATTACATGCATTGATTCTTTCCAAGCAGCAGGGCCAAGTAATTGGCCTTTAAACTTTCTCAATATTCGAATTAAAGACAAGCCTTTTTACGTAATTGTTCAAAACAAATATATACGCTGAGGAGTTCTTTTCAGATGCTTGTTCATTTATTTAGGGAGCGTAAGTAGTTCAGGAGCAGCAAGTATAAGTACTTGCATGTTTCTGAAACATACTTTTGGCCACATTATATCTTTGCTTCAAACGGTAAATTACGCAAACGACCTTCTTTGAAATGTTGAGCATTGTCGATGCATTTTTTAACTACTGTGTACCGATAGGGAGTTCAAAGGCGTTTGCCCATATTTACCTCAATAAATTCACTTAATGACTTAACTTGTCCCGTACACACTATGCGTATTAGGTAAAAACGGCAGTCACTTGATCCAACGTAGAGTATGCCGTCCAGGCCTGGCGTCCGTGATTAGAGCAGAATTATCTGAAGCTGGAACTAGTGCAAGCGGTGGGGCTACTAAGATTGTCACGAAACTTGGTCATATGCCTCATGAAGACAAATTGAGTGAAATTGAGTGAAATTTACTGAAAACTCTGTGGTGACTTCATCCAAGCCTACTAACATATTAAAGGCCGTAAGTGCGCCCTAGAATTTGATGAAATCTTCGAATTGGCTCGGATGTATAATCTGTGGGGTCATCCCTTTAAACTGCAGAGGAAACCGGCCCATATGGACGTTCGACGGAACGCCTTCTCGGAAAGAGTCATCGGAGCGTAAAACAGACGCCCTGACAACGTGGTCCTCTCAGATACTGTTGACAATTTGAACGCGAAATTTATTTTCATCTTTCGAGAAACTGTTACGGATATACTGAACATTTTGACAGTAGCAGCAGCATGAAACTGGCACGCAACTGTCGCTGATGTTAAGCCTACATTTGTATTATGTACTATTGTTAAGTTTGACCTCTTTTGCAATTTTTGGATAAGAATATGGAGCTCTAGAATGAAAGCCTTTTTCCCTTAATAAAGTGGCATGTAGTGACTTATGAATGAAACCATGTAGTATCCATCAAGGCGGATTTCA